TTTTTTTTTTTTTTTTTTTTAACAGCTGACATTTTCTTAGCAGCCATCCATGCGTCCCTCTGGAGGGTATTTTTACTTTCCAAACAGCTTTAAGCAGTCATGTGGCTGCCCCAGCGGCAACTTGCTCCCAAAGAGGTGGCTGAACCTCCAGTGTGTAGGAAGGTGATCTGTGTAAACATTCCTATTAGCTCTGTGCTGCACCAGGAGGAGCAACTGCAACATGTTTAGGCACACCTGAGCTATATTTAATCCATCTTCCCCCGACACCCATTGCAATGACGCTGCAGACGCCCAAATTTGGACGGCCAGGTCATGGCACCGCTGATGAGAGTCAACAAGCCCATCCTATGCCCACACCAGCCGGTCCTGCTGCCATTTCTCCGTGTCTTGACACCCAAAATAGCCAGATTAAACCAACCACCAGGCTTGCAGTGGTAAATACAGCTCCAGTTATGCTCCAGGCATGAAACTGCAACAGCAGGATTAGCAAGTGATACAGCAGATATCCCCCTTCCGCAACACAGACCAAAAAAAGAGAAGTTATTTGGGGGATAAACACTAATTCCACAACTACAATGCAAACTCCAAACACAAATCCCACAATCAGAGCCAGAATCTGCACTAGGGGCAACGATCCTGATTCATATTTTTTGGGAGTGAGAAAAGAGGACATTTTAAGAAAAGGACATTTATACATTAAAAAGTGTCTGTCACACTGACTTTAACAGATCCTACGTTTAATAAGTTAATAGAATCAAAACAGCTAAGAAAACAAAACCAGCAAAATGTGGTACAAATAAAAACGGAGCAGCCACACATACCAAAGCAGCATTCCTGTGCCCTCCTTCCTGCAGAGCCCACAGAGCCAGGACGAGGATTTCTAACCCACAGCTTTCACTAAACCAAGGTCTCCTTCGAAAGCTTAAATGTATAGGAACATCCAGTGATACATCTGATGACCAAATAATCCACAAGAGCCAAAAAAATCCCAGCAGACAAGGGCAGGAGAGATGCTTCCCAAGCTACATTATCTTTAATGACAGGCTTGGGATCGGCCCTGCGTTTTCCTTGCAGGCTCAACTACTCAGGTACAAGAAAAGCTGCTCCCTTCTCTGAATCCAGGTATCAAACCTGCAACAGGAATATTAAAATGTGCCATATCTGCTGGGAATACAGCCACCAGTGTGTGAGGATTATCCCAAAATGCCTGTCTGGCTGTGCTACAGGGCAGTGAGAAGCGAAAATAACACATTGCGATGAATGTGCTGACACCTGGAACCTCAGGGTCAGTTTTACCTCGGTGGTACTGTGCATACACTATACAATATTCAACTTCACATCGCCACAAAGTTAACTTGGCACCTCCATACCCCAAAAACCACGCTCCTTCCTGGCATGGGAACTACAGGCCAGTCTCTGTGAACGCCCAGAGCGCGCCACAAAACGAGCTCTAAAACTGAAA